AGCTGTGGACAATTAGTCCTTTGGACTAATCTTTTCGTTGTATCCTGTTCTCTTCATTCTCCCTTGCTCCCGAAGGGATGAGACCAGTGGAGTATCTTAAATGGCCGCTCACAGGCTTTCCATAGGGTTTTTCTTGGCCAGTTTTTGGAAGCAGATCACCAGGCCTTTCTTCCTAGTCTGTCTTAGTCTGGAAGGTTTCCTGAAACTTGTCCACCAGGGGTAACCTGCTGGTATTTGAAATACCAATGACATAGCTTCCAGCATTGTAGCAACACGCAAGCCATCATAGTACAACAAACTGACACTCAAGTGGTGGAAGCCGTGGTATACTCATTATTAAAACAAATAAAACCATGGTTCTCAACCAGAGGAAGAGGAAGGGAGTGGATATATCAAAATAATCTGGAATTTTTTTCAAACTAGACCTACTCCAGATTGTGTGAGCCCTCCATTTCAACTCCCAACTCCCACTAAGCACACACACACTACTGTTTTAAAATTGTAAGTAATACTGCCAGGTCAAATTGAAAGACACTGATTTTCAGTTAGTGCTCTTTGGGTTACCTCTAATTGTAAAATACTGATAATAGCTATTATTTATAGAACATATTATCTGCCAACATGTCATATATTATAATTGCATTTATTCTTCAGAACAATTCTTGCGAATATGTATTATTATTATCATTTTACAGCAAGTTGCAACTAAGGCACTGAAAGGTTAGGATAGTTACTTGAGGCCACACAGCCAATAAGGACAGACAGAACTAGAATTCAAATTTAAATCTTTCATTTCAAAGCCTGGGCAGTTTACTGAAAGTAATTGCTGCTCTTTTTGTAGTAAGAATAAAGTAATAATGTGTAAAATTCACCTAGCTTTTATTATATTTATTTTCAATAATCTCAAAAAATTTAAACAGCTGTAATATGACCCTCTAGGGGACAGTGCTAATTATCTCTGCCAACATCTTAAATTTGGATTAAAGAAGAATGTTAATAAAAACCAAAAAACCCATCGCTGTCGAGTCAATTCTGATTCATAGTGACCCTATAGGACAGAGTAGGACTGCCCCAGGGTTTCCAAGGCTGTGATCTTTACGTAAGCAGACTGACACATCTTTCTCCTGCGGAGTTGCTCGTGAGTTCAAACCACTGACCTTTTGATTAGCAGTCGAGCGCTTAACCACTGTGCCTCCAGGGCTCCTTTTGAAGAATGTTAATAGTGACCTGAAATTTGCTCACATGGGAATCTGGAGTATACAGAAACCAGGGCTTCCAGCCGGTTCGGTCATGGCCAATGAAGCAAAACCAGAACAGACCTGAATTTTTACAATTGGGGGTTCCAGAATGACAACCAGAATGGGAAAAATTACAGGTCTAAGCCCTGGAATGGAAGACTGGGAAGAGGCATAGTGAGCTCTTTCAGAAGCCTAATGTGTGAGACTGGATTATTGGCAGGACTGTGGAGAGGGACAGGCGTGAGTGGGTCACCACTGTTTCCGACTCTGCTCAAAGGCAAGAGATATGGTTGCTATGCAACGCATACGCTGCCCTTGGTTTCTGAGAGGGAAATTAGGTTTCTAGTAGGGCTTCGACCAATAATTTTTCCCGTTCCAGTTCACCCAAGGATCCCTGGTGGCACAATGGTTAAGAGCTTGGCTCCTAAGGGAAAAAGTCGACAGTTTGAATCCACCAGCTGCTCCTTGGAAACCCTGTGGGGCAGTTCCACTCTGTCCTATAGGGTCTCTATGAGTTGGATTCGACTTGAAGGCAACGGGTTCATTTTTTTTGTTTGTTTGTTTTTTGTTTACCCAAATTTTTAAAATTCGGTTCTTGTTCGGTCTCGCTTCCTCGACCATGGCTGAACCGGGAGGAACCAGTTCGAAGCCCTGAGAGAAACATGAGCATAATGTGTGGTACCGCATGCACACTTATTCGCTGAACTTGACATTTTGCCTCTGAAGAAAGATTTACTAACCCATAAACTTCTTCAGGGGTGTGGCAAAAGAAGGGAACATTTTGTTTGGCTACTCATATAAACATCACTGTTACTCCTAAAGGATTCGTGCTAAATTGGAGTTTGAAGGTGGCAGGAGAAGAAAACACTATTTGAAAAGCAGAACATCTCTTTCTTTAACTATGATCACAATTATTTCATATTCATGGACAAACTTCAGTAACCCTAATTCTGGATAAGCATTCAAGATTATCATTTCATACGGGCAGGCCATTCTGTTTAAATTGTTGTTGTTAGGTGCCGTCAAGTCGGTTCCGACTCATAGTGACCCCCTGCACCACAGAATGAAACACTGCCCGGTCCTGCACCATGCTAAACAATCGTTATGCTTGAGCCCATTGTTGCAGCCACTGTGTCAGTCCATCTTGTTGAGGGTCTTCCTCTTTATCAGTGACCCTCTACTTTACCAAGCATGATTTCCTTCTCTAGGGACTGATCCCTCCTGACAACATGTCCAAAGGATGTAAGACATAGTCTCGCCATCCTTCCTTCTAAGGAGCATTCTGGTTGTACTTCCAAGACAGATTTGTTTGCTCTTTTGGCAGCCCATGGTATATTCCATATTCTTCGCCAACACCACAATTCATAGGCGTCAATTCTGCTTCGGTCTTCCTTATTCATTGTCCAGCTTTCGCATGCATATAATGCAATTGAAAATACCATGGCTTGGGTCAGGCGCACCTTAGTCTTCAAGGTGACATCTTTGCTTTTCAACACTGTAAAGAGGTCTTTTGCAGCAGATTTGCCCAATGCAATGCGTCTTTTGATTTCCTGACTGCTGCTCCCATGGGTGTTGATTGTGGATCCAAGTAAAATGAAATCCTTGATAACTTCAATCTTTTCTCCATTTATCATGATGTTGCTTATTGGTCCATTTGTGAGGATTTTTGTTTTCTTTATGTTGAAGTGTAATCCATACTGAAGGCTGTGGTCTTTGATCTTCATCAGTAAGTGCTTCAAGTCCTCTTTACTTTCAGCAAGCAAGATAGTGTCATCTGCATATTGCAGGTTGTTAATGAGTCTTCCTCCAATCCTGATGCCCCTTTCTTCTTCATATAGTCCAGCTTCTCGGATTATTTGCTCAGCATACAGATTGAATAGGTATGGTGAAAGGATGCAACCCTGATGCACACCTTTCCTGACTTTAAATCACGCAATATTCCCTTGTTTTGTCTGAACAACTGCCTCTTGATCTGTGTACAGGTTCCTCATGAGCACAATGAAGTGTTCTGGAATTCCCATTCTTGGCAATGTTATCCATAATTTGTTATGATCCACACAATCGAATGTCTTTGCATAGTCAATAAAACACAGGTAAAGATCTATTCAAATATGCACTTGGAAAGAGAGTAATGAAGGTAACATTTATTGACATTACCAGGCATTTATTGAGCATAATAAAAGTTTTTAAATCTTCTTTTTTGGAAAAGAAGCAAAATATGTTTGTGACTATATTGACTTAGATTGATACTTCCTTCCAACAAATATTTATTGACACAGTTCTAAGCACTGGGGATGCCGTAAGGGACAAAACTAGAGGCCCCAGTATAGTGAAGCACATATTCTAGTTAGGGCAGCAGAGAATAAACAGGTTAACACTCTTATGTCTGCCCGTGAGGGGAGTGCTGTGAAGTAAAATACAGCTCCAAAGATGGAGAAGGTGGCCCAGGAATGGCTTGGTGAAGAAGAGATGTTTGATAAGGGAAAAAAAAAGCATTTTTACATAAAAAAAATAGTAATGTGAAATAATTAGTAACAAATGTTTCACAATAATTCTGAAGAAACCCGGTTACAGTATTCTAGATATGCAGATCTAGGCAGCAGCAGTCTCTTACTGCCCTTCTTTCATAGGTGATTTTAGTCAAATAGGCTTTTGTGGATTACTTTTACTGCATCGGAGCCCTGGTGGTGCAGTGGTTAAAGAGCTATGGCTGCTAACCAAAAGGTCGGCAGTTTGAATCCACCAGCCACTCCTTGGAAACCCTATGGGACAGTTCTACTCTGTCCTGCAGGGTCACTGTGAATCAGAATCAACTTGACGGCAATGAGTTTGTTTTTGTTTTTGTTTTTTTTTTTTTGGTTTTACTGTATCACTGGCAGCCATCCCTAAGAGTCTGAATCTTTGGAACTTTAATAGAATGGTACTTTGAATTTAAAAAAAAAATTGCCATCAGGTCGATTCCACTCATGGTGACTCCCATATATGCAGAGTAGAGCTGCTCCATAGAACTGGACTGTGACCTTTTGGAAGCAGATAGCCAGTCCTTTCTTCTGAAGCACCTCTGGCTGGTTTGAAACTGCCAACCTTTCGGTTACACCAACCAGAGACTCCTTATGAGGTTTCATGATACGCGTGCCGTCAGAGAAAGTGCCTCTGTGTGTTTGTGAGTATAGCCGTGTATGATTTGAACTTTTCTCCTCCCATTCTAGGGTGAAAAAGGAGCTGTGGGAGAGCCAGGACCCAGAGGGCCCTATGGTCTGCCTGTGAGTTCAGTGTCACTTGCACTGCCCTTACCTTCAGCATGAACAGATGACTTGTCACTGATACTGTTAACCCTTTCCTCATGGGGCTGACTAATCATGTTACGGGAGCAAAGAACAACCACTAATTATCTAAAGTACCAGTATAACCATGTCCTTCAGAGCTAGGTCATAGTCAGTGTCTCACCCAGTCCCATTCTCCCCCTACGCGCCTCAGCATGTACAGACACACACTCACACACTTCACGAGACTGGGAGGATCACAGATGTCCATGGAATAAGCAGTGCTAACCTGAAAGCAGGATTCAGGCTGGCAGATAACACCCTGGCTGTGCCATCTGATGCCAAGGACTCCCATCACTGAGACTTCCTTTGAAGGTCACTGTCTCCAAAAACGGGTGTGGAAGCTTTCATTTAAAACAACCTCTTCAGATTTTATCTTTTCGCATCGATCTTTTACTAAAACTATTCTTGCTAATAAAAGTTATTTCTCAAATTAGGTTGATGTTGACAATGACATTTATGTTTCTGACCTTTCTAAAGGATTGGGATGGCAGATGAGCTTCAGCAGGTCAATAACATTCTATCTTCTGAAAATTCTCAGTGACACGGAATTCAAATTCAGGCTTCAGGTTTACTTCAAAAACATGGTCTTCGGGATAATTATAATTGATTCATTAGGATAGGGTAGGACTACAGTAGGATACGTTGCATTAAGGTTTTTAAACTCTACGTACCTTCCACATTTTATATATTACTGGAATAATAAACCGTGATTAATTCCCTGCTAAAAAAAAAAGATGCTGATTTTGAAATAGATTTCAAAATCTAATTGACGGAATCAAAGCAGCCTCTCAGTAACTTCGGGTGGATCAGTCACGTAACACAGTAGGGCCATCACCATGATCCTCTGTATTTCGGGGGTGAATTTATCATCCTTGCATAACTGTCTGACGACTCCTTTTATATTTGAGGATCATTCACTTACAAAGCTTCCTTAAAAACAATTCTTAGGTTGCTGCCTTCTCATGCTTTATAGATAAGATGAACATCTAGCCAAATTAAGACTGCATTTAACGAAGAGTTTTCACATTCTTTACTCGTTCATGAGCTAATTACTGAGTTAGCAAGTTAAAGTAGCACAGAACATTAATTCACATAGTCTGTTAGTGCTGGTGTGTTTTTAAATCAACTCAGTAGTGTTTTTGCTTTTGACTTAACCCTGAACTAATAACTTGGATACCGAGCATCAAACTTCAGCAAAATATCATCAGTCTGTTTAACCCTCTATATAATAAAAATCTTCATGAGCCTTAGCTGCAACATTAACAGTCTCTTCACTCGAGGTAGTGAAAGAAATTTGTATTACTAATCAATAGAGAATCTTTTCCCCTTTTCTGAAGTAGCTGTTCTAATACCAGTGTTGCATGTCCATGCAGCCTTAAATAAAACAATAACGTAATCATGAAACTTAGGAACACTAATGTAGTTACTGTGATTCTTTGGCAGGGGAAAGATGGAGAGCCTGGTCTGGATGTAAGTAATACATGTAATAAACATCTTCCAATTATAATAGATGCTGATGGGCTCCATCATCAATAACAGAAAGAATACTTCTTATTTCTTCTGTGATATAGCTATGCATACAGCATATATTGCTGTGCATGAAGACAGCAATATAAAGTACACTAGTGTTTGCATGAGATAAATATAAAAGGGAATACATAATCAGCTGGTATCAAATTAATACCTGACAGTCAATAGTGGCACTTCAACATAATTTCCCAAATTAGGGACATTCTTAACATCCGCAGGTAAACGACTTATGTAAAAAATACACATAAAATCACAGTATCTCGCATATGCTACCCTTAGGGAATGGTGTATTTTGTTTACTCTCCACACGGCTAGGCAATACTTTCTTCCTTTTGCCATAAAGTCTGTATGTATCTTATGCTAATACAATTTTATGAAAATAGAGAACGCCAAAAGTAAATGCCTCTAGGAACTATCACTGCTCATCTTATATTATGTGAATAATAAAACAGAAAAAGTAATAATAGTCACTGATTATTGAGCACCTCTTATGAGCAGGCATCATGCGAGGACTTTATATGTATCACCTCATGTAATGCTCACAACAGTCACAGAACTAAATTGCAGAGAGGTACGTGGTTTGCCCAAAACCACACAAATCCGTGAACTTGCTGGGATTCAGACTGATGTCCTGATATTCGTTCCACTGTGTATGTCTTAGGAGACAAGGCAAGGAAACCTGTTGATATAGATCCTTATGGTGTTAGATGATGGTTCATTTCTAAGTGCTGGTTTACCTGTCTAAGTTTTGAGATTGTCTGGCATGCTGTTTTTATTTATATTTGAGATCAGAAACATGCAGCCCTAATTTTTTTTTTTCGGTGTAACTTCACCACAGTTAAACAAATAGATCTTCTTGGTTTTCTTTTTATCTTGTAGGGCTTCCCTGGTTCGCGTGGTGAGAAGGGTGATCTAGGAGAGAAGGGAGAAAAGGTGACCTCTCCACCTTAGCACGCGCCTGGTGTCATTCTTCTCATGCAGCCTGCTTTGCTGTTAACCTGTGCCATTCCACTGTACTCCTAATCTCTCTGTCCTGTGCACCAAAAACGCACCATTGTCTGCTCTAAAGAACAAGGTCTTTAAGTAAAGAAGCCGACACAGCTAGAAATGAGAGCACTGTCTAGCATAGAAGAAAAGCATTACAATCCCCAGATTTCCAAACTACAGTCTCTCAACCACCCGACATCAACTTGCTGAAAAATGTAATGTCCAGAAATTCCTGAAAATGAAAAAAAAAAAAAGGAATATAGGGCATTCATTGCACCAAAGGGAAGTTAAGCAGCACAGATCTGCAGTGGTCTTCTATCAGAGCTCACCTCACCCTGTAAAGCCACTATCTTATTTATCATCACAACATCCTCAGTACACAGACAGAATATATGTTCTGTACCTTCCTTTTTGGTTGTAAAACAGAGAGTAAGTAAGCATTGTGACCGATAAACCAGAGGGAGTCGGTTACTCAGGGACTAAGACATGCCGCTTTCAGACTCAGAGCAGACAGCCGTAGATTTTATAAAATGAAAATATCAGAGTATTTTATGACCTTGGTGTTTCAGTTTTACCTCAGGACCATCAACTCCAGGGTATATAGGACCCCGCATCAGGCAAAATTGTTTTACGTCTGAAACCGAAATTCGGATTATGGATTTTGAGAATCATTTCTTCCTTCCCTTTCTTCTTTTCTCCCTTTCTCTTTCCCTCTCTTTGTACTTTGGGTATTTGCCCTGATAGTAGATCTGACAGACTTTTTATTAACCTTGGACACAACAAAACAAGCAGAAACTCAGCACTTCAGTATATTAGTGAAAATCTATAAATTGATGGATGAAATTGCACTCTCACAGTGCAAATTTAAACCAATTATACTTGTCAGATTAATTCATGTCCTGCTCCACTTAACCCTGTTTTTAGAACCCTAGGAAGTCTCTTGAACAGTGAAGTTCCTAGCTATTGAAAAGCAAGGCCAAATGAGAGTTGTTAAAAAAGGGTGTAAAGCCTGCTGTCTATGCCTCAGGTTTGAAATTTCACTTAACCTCTCATCGGTAAGAAAGCTCACGAGTTTGGTTATCTATAGGTACCACCACCACCGTTACCATCTTCATCCTTATCACATTTCCTGAGCCCTTATTGTGTGATTTCCCAAGAGCTTTACATATGATGTGTTTTAATCTTAATTACAACCCTCTGAGGTTGGTACTATTATCCTCATTTCACAGACAAGGAAACAGAGGCATGAAAAAGTTATTTTAATCTGAATTATAAATTCTAATCTGTAAGATATACATGTTTTGAGACAAATCACGCGTATAAGCTTTTAGCCCAGGTGTTCCTTCTTTAAAGATTGTATGTATTTATATTTGTATTTAGCTAATTGGGTTGTATGAGTCTAAAGTCTTACATACTCAAAAGCATGTCACCATTACTCACATTTGTGCTTTTAAACAAGAAAGACGTTACTGGTATTATAACTTATGAAAACATGAGGGTACAAATTTAATCCTCAGACTAATGTAAATCACCCATAGGAACATATTTTCATGTTTCAGAACCCACGATTAGAAGCTTTATATTTAGCAAAATTAGGTTCTAAATATGAACCCTTTACGTATGTCATTCTTTGATGTGGGAGATAAAAATTAGCAAGAGCCCTCACACGCTGATCCCCACACGACAGATGATTTTATGTTGTATGGGGAATCGCTACCTATCACAAAACAATGTTGATTAATAACATTGATACATTCTTCTTTGTACTTTAGTGTCTGTTCTCCATGAGGCTTGAGGCTTACTAAAATATTACTGAAAAATCATTCTCATAGCCTGTCACAATCAGCATTCACAGGACAACATTTTTCTGTTGAGTGGTTAATCTGAGTTGATTTACCAATCAAATAAGGAATTGAATTCTAAATTAAAAATACCCAACACACCTGGCCTCAGTCACACCTGAGTGAAAGAGTCCACTGCCTCCTGGGAGGAAGGAGCTCACCCAAACTGGTTAAATCAAGTTTATGGCATGGCCCTGAAGAGTAATTTGCTGAAGGAGGAAGTTGGTTCGTCTTGTATGAGTGAGCAGTTTACTCCAGAATGCTCCTCCCGTCTGATTCCCATCACATCTGCTCTCATTTCACCCATCTGCTCTCATTTCACCCTGGCTTCTCCTGTCTTTGTCTTTGATAGTGAGCAAATAAACCGCACAGGGTTTCTCTCTTTTCCTGGTATTCAAGAAGCCCAAATGGTTTTGATTCTGAGCCTTCTGATGCAATCTTTTTGGCACACAGGAGATAATTGAGGAGCTTTCACTCACTCTGTCAGAATGAATGCATTAATATGAATGTGAATCACATATACTTTCTGTTACACGTGTCTTTTCACCTTTGAATATTCATAGTGTTTTGCTCCAGAAATTATTTTAGTTTTTTGGTAACTCTCATCCTGATTGCAGAATGGATACACTAATTTACATGTGTATCGTGTAGTTTCTATTCTCTTTGGCACCAACTCCCTGTCTGTAAATATGCAGAGATGCTGATGATAATATGAAACAGTTGAAGTGCACTCCTTCCTTCTCCACTTTTTGCCTCCTTTCCTTAATTCCTCCTTCCTTATGATCCATGCAAATTCCCCACGACCTTTACCTTGATTCCTAAATACTAATTTCTGTGGCTACATTCCCACTATATAATTACCCTGCCTACTTCATTGTTAGTATTAGCTCAACTGAGTCCAAACTGCTTTTTCTATCTTGAACAGATTTTTTTTTTTTTTTGGCTCTTGTTGCATTATAGTAAGCTGGAAACTCATTTACCATTGTGAACACCTGGCATGAAATCGATAAGAGTGAATTAAAGAGGATTCCTGGGCTTAGACATAAGTCTCGTTCTTCAGTTGGCATTGCTGAGAAATATAAACATTTTTAAAAATGTGTTTACCTGACTTAAAGGAAATTCTTTACTTTTAGTGTTCTAAAACAGAATGTTAAATGAAATAGAAACACCTTTTTTAATGCACTGAATACTTTTTTAATGAGAGCTGTAAAAGATAGTAAAAAATTGGATGCATTTCAAAAAGATAGAAGCTGTTAATATTTTTTTCCTTTTCCTCTGGCTCAAAGTAGCTTTCATCTATTACAGGATTGGGAAAAAAAAGCAGGTTGACAGGTATTGAAAATTGGGCAAAGTGTCTATCCGTTATTCCTCTGAAATTCACTTGCCACCGGCTAACCTCAGTACAGTTGGTATCTGTCATCCTAGCCAGGTCCGTGGCAGAAACACCTAATTCACAATGACTAAGACCTTGTGGTCTAAGCCAGCACTGATCTTTCTTTCTGATGTGCCGGCCTTTTAGGTCTCCTTTCGTCTCGTTGAGTATCTTAAGTAAAAGCCCACACTGGGATTAAATAAAAATTTAAAAAATTGTTGCCCAGTATCCACCTATGCATTATCACTCCAAAAATGTAACTTTTATAGTGCCATGCCTTACCTAAACCAGAGAACAGTGGTAAATGCCCTTCCAGACTCTGACTGGCTAAACCATCTCTTGACCCACTGTTATTTTCCCCCCAAATAAAACCTGTCTTTTATCTAAACCCTTGTATCCACAGGGGGAAAAGGGAAAGAAAGGCAAAAAGGGGCCTAAAGGGGAGAAAGGAGAACAGGGTGCCCCTGGATTAGATGCACCTTGCCCATTGGTATGTCTGACTCATGGAACTCTGTCTCCACATGTCATGTGTAAGGGGATAAGATGGGAGAAGAGCAAGCTGGAGGGACCGGTAATGCAAGCCTTCTGTTTGGGGTCATTTAACATAGACTTTAAGGCTCCCGGAACATCTGTCTTGGTCATCCTGATATGGTCCACACCTTGAACCTGGCCACTAGCTCCGCCTGGTTTCTTAACACAGAAGTATCTACTGATATGCAGCTGGAACCTGAACGTAGAATCTGAAGAGGAACCAGACTGCTATTCCCTACGCCTCAAAAGGGAAGGTCACCATTGGCAGACAAGCCCTTATTACAGGAATACGCCCAGCTCTGTTTAATTCTGTCCTGCTTCCCCGGACGTTACTTTCCCCTTCAGAGTTGCTCCTCTCCCAGTCTTTTGTTAACGGAGTTATTTCTTCAGAATCTGTGCTTAAGTGATTTCTTGTGTTAGTAACATTATGAGTTAATCTTTACAAACAGGGATTCCGTGGCGTTAAGGGGGAAAAAGGGGAGCCAGGCCAGCCTGGCCTGGATGGGCTGGATGCCCCTTGCCAATTGGTACAGTATTTCTCTTTCCTACCACCCTGCATGCGATTCCTGTGTTTGTTATATATTCATTTCCATCAGTGTGAAGCGGTGCTTTATGCAGCCAACTTTACATGATAAATTTACTGCATGCATGGGCATGAGCAGGCTCCTTCAGCACTTCTTTGCGAAGTGAAGAGAGTGAGCACGGGTGTCTATCGTTGAATGCAAATTAACCTCCTGGCATTGCCCTCACAACTGGCATGACCCGACATATCTGTGTTCCTTGCAATTTTAATTTCTTGGATAAATATTTAAAGAGTACATTAGAAATTATGTCACAATTTTCTATGTAAAGGCACTGCTAGGCCATTAAATTTTATTTCTGCCCTTAAATATAACGGTCCCTTTTTTTTTTTTTTCTTTCTCTCTCTTTCTCTAAAAGAAATAAAGCCTTTTTGGCCTCTTTCACTAAATTTCTGCCAGGCTGTAAATAAGACCAAACCTGCAGACTTAGGCTTCTGTGGTCAAGCGTTAACCAATTCAAGAGAATGCTGTTAAGAGACCTTATGGAAGAAAACCAAGCTTCTCTGAGCTTCTAAAGATAATGGTCTGCAGCCCAAACCCTCTTCTTTGCCACGTAACATTTTCAACTTAATGGTCTCTCCTTTTGAAACTCACGTTCCTGAAGTAGACAGATCTCCCGTCTCCATTGGCATGAACTCAAAATCCTCCTTATACTAAAACCTAAAATTCTGCTGGTTGATCCTTCTCCTTGTACCAATCTGGCATCACCGAATTTTTTCCCAAATATTTTAGAAAGCTATTTCAGAGGTGTTTTTAAAAAAAATAAAAAAGTTTAAATGGAAAGTATATTCATATTTTCTGAGGTATTAAGAAAAACCTTAATGATTGAGTTTGTGGTTATCTTTCTTTTGCATTTTCTCATATTATTCTTCTGTTCTACGCATGATTCTTTAAAGATAAATTTATACTTCTCAAGTCTTTTAAGAGATTATAGAAAAAAAATTATTTACTCAATAATTACAGTTAGAAAATCTCAATATGTAGTGCCCAGCCTTCTATTTTGTTTGCTTGGTATTCATGATAAATCATGTTTTACACTCATTTTAGTGGGGGAAAACATAAGCATGCCTTAATAACTTACCAACTCTTCCTTCCTTATTTGTATCATTTATATCTGAAGAATGCTTACACTTTAAATTAAAATAAACTTTGCAATATTTAGGAACCCCTTATTTATTCAGAATTCATTGACTGACTTCTGAGGAATTTTAATAGAAAATCTGTTGAATGCTATGGATAACATTTTACTATAAAAGTATAGATAAGCCGCCTATCTTTATATTCAATTGAGTATATCTACTATGTCTACTTTAAATCTAGGAAGGGGAAAAATACTGGCATGTTGAGAGCTATAAACTTCAGATAAAAATGGTTCATTATTGGTCATTCATCATTTTCACGCATTCAGCCATAGACATAATGACCAGGAAGGGAAGTGATTTCCATTTATTTAATAAGGATAATTGCGAGAGGTATTTTATGAAATTAAGAGTTATCCTTTAGATTTAATACCTAAACGTGTCATTGTGAGTAGACCACTAGGCTTTGTAAATTGCTTTTCCAAAATTAGGCAGAGATTTTTTTATTTACAAAATGTGTACTTACTCTAGAAAACATTTTAATTTGTTTCATCTTAACTAACACTGGGTAATATATTGGAAGTCACTAATTGCAAAAAGATGGTTATGACTGAAGTCACCTCACGGGTAGAGAATACTGCTTCTTAAGCCTTTGAGCATGTGTACTGTGAAGCATGGTCACGCCTGTGGGGCCTGAGGAATACTTTTTCTTCTCTTTAAAACAGGGACCAGATGGATTACCCATGCCCGGCTGTTGGCAAAAGGTAGGGTTTGTGGAAATTTTTTTCTAAGTAGTACTCTCCTTTTCTTTTGACCTAGGCTAGTCTTTTCCATTCAGAATAGATGTTTTTAATTTGACATTTATGAAAATTATTTGGGTATTAAAAAGCAGAGGATTCCATCTTCCAGAACATATCTGAAGAGCACGTTTACTGATGATTTCTTACTAAGCTGATGAGTGAAAACAGTTCTTAGCGAACGTTATAATTTGAAACGTTCCCTATCTGATTTTTTCTTCTGAATGGAAAGGGGCAGCACATCTTGATAATGGTTTGCTTGTTTTTTGATAAACTCCTTGTCCTCTTACTGTTTATAACTATTCTTAATTGTCATCTTTTTCTGTAATTTAATTTCTTACATAAATATATTAGTATGTGGTAGAGCCCGGATAATAGGAGCCGCATAACTGAGAAAGCAGAAAATACAAGCATGATGACCAATTTTTGTCCACCAACAATATCTTAATTTATTAGGAGACCTGGTTATATTTAAATTGTAGTCCTTTTTGATACCAGTTAATTCTAGCCACTACATGTGGCTATCTATAACCATTATTGGTGTATACGATAGGGAACCTTCTATGTACAAAGGATGTGGGATAAACCCTTTCATGTAAAGGATATAATTTCATTTAGTCCTCAGAATAAGCCTACAAGGTATTATTATCCTTAGTGATACAGATGAGGAAACTGAAGTTCAGAGAGGCTAAGTAACTTCCGAGGGCGCAGAGCTAGTATGCTACAGAGCTAGGAGAGTGGGAAGCCATGGCAGATCTTTAAGCAGGGAAGAGACCTGAGTGCTATTCAGAAATGCCAGACCTTTACCCAGGAATGGTGAGAACCTAGTCGTAAAAAAATGTGCTTATGCTGCTGATGCAGAAAGGAATACCATTAATGCAAAAACAAGCTGGGGGCAAGTATGCACACTGCTTTGATCACTGTAAAAATTTTTCTCCAGTGTCTTGTGGTTTATTCAGTAATTTTTTTAACATCCTAGTCTTGTCTATTTTGAAGTTTTTTTTTCAATTGTAAAATATATATATAACAAAACATTTGCCATTTCAACCATTTTCATGGGTACACTTCAGTGATGTTAATTAGGTTCACCACATTGTACAACCATCAGCACTATTCATATTCAAATTTTTTCATCACCTTTAACAGAAACTCAGTGCCCCGTAAGCAATAACGGCCTTTTCCCCCTCCCACCTGTACCTAGTTCCACTGATTAACTGGCCTCTATGCATTTGCACCTGGGTGGTGCAAATGGTTAAGCACTGGACTACTAACCGAAAGGTTGGTGGTTCAAACCCACCCAGAGGTGCTTCAGAAGTAAGGCCTGGTCATCTGCCTCCAAAAGGCCACAGCCCTGAAAACCCTGTGGAGTTCTACTCTGCACACATGGAGTCACCGTGAGTCAGAATGTACTCAGTGGCAGCTAACAACACGCATTTGCCTATTCTCGATATTTCATATAAGTGGAATCATACAATATGTACCTTTTTGTTTCTGATTTATTTCACTCAGCATAGTATTTTCAAGGTCCATCCGTGTCATAGCATGTATCAGAACTTCATTTGTCTTATTCAGTAATTTTTGTCAGCATGCTTCATTGACTAACCTGCAGCAAAGCTGTTGGGATTGTAGGAAAATCAGAAAAAACTGACTCTCAGCTGCCTCTCCCCGCAGCATCTCGGGTGCTGTGCAGATCTGTGTAGCACACTTGCTTGCTTCTGATGGCGTCATTTATCTGGTAGCTGCCCATACTCCATTTTTAAGCTGTCATAATTAGTGTGATCAGGTCCAGTGGTTCTCAGGAAAGATAGACCTATCATCAGATTCTCCTTCACCTGAGAAAACTATCCTCTCACCATCATAACCCCGGTTCACAGAATGTTTAATAATATCCTGGGCTGGAATTACCATTCGCTGTCTAACCTTTGCCCTGTAATTTAATACTGTAATGATTTTTTAATCCAGTCATTAGCACACTTTACATAGAGGAAGATGTGAAAAGTTTACTTTATCCGGCCTCTGACACCGCTCAGAACTTGGGTTCATAATCATTCTGGGCTGCCTCTAAATGGCTTCATATCTGAAAGGACATGATAAGAATGGCTACAAAAAAAGGATTTATCATCATTTTGGTTCATGAAATGACTAACCCGTAGTAATAATATGAATAACATTAGGAAATTAGAAATTTTAAGTGTTTATTTTTCTACAGGACTGGTGTTATATTTTATGTAAGACTAAGGATTTCATGAATCTAACATGTTCTTATGTAAAGAATAATAACTCAGTGATAAAACTTCAATATTGTTTATCAGGAGCTCTGGTGGCACAAATGGTTAAATGCTTAGCTGCTAACCGAAAGGTTGGTGGTTCAAATCCACTCAGCAGCTTCACAGGACAAAGACCTGGCAGTCTGCTTCTGTAAAGATTGCAGCCTAGAAAACCCTATGGGGCAATTCTACCTTGTCACATGGGGTTGCTATGAATCAAAAACAAGTTGAGGGCATCCAACAACAACAATTGTTTACCATACCAGCACACACAAATGTAAATCATTCTGACCCCCCCCAAAAAAAGAAATAAAAAATTAGAATAATAAAATGTTCTAAATCCCTCACGTAGTCAACCTAGCCATCTCAAATATACTGTCAGTCCGGTCAAATTCTTCTTAAAATGGTATTTTAAAAATAAGTCCAGTAGGTTGTTTTTAATAAATCTATTTTACATCCACCACCCTTTAAACTTTGCTTATTACATTCTAGAGCACAGTGGCAAATACTTGTCTGACCTAAGCTTCAGATTGTGACAGCAGTGTAAATCACTGTAATTATTTAACAAGTCTTCTTGGTTCTGCTACTTTCAATAATAATTTCTTTATATGCAGAACTATTTGATCTTTGTTTAAATTACTTTTCTTTCTGGATATAGTTCAAGTTTCTAAATTTACCAAGACAAGAAGAACTGCTGAACTAGAATGGACGAATAATGATGTACCAGTTCACAGTATAATTCACACAGTGGGTAAATGGCAGAATTTATTGTTAAGAGAATGCCTATAAGCTATTAAGGTTATCATCCATCCTCATGAAAAGATTAATAACTATTTAATATGAAAAGTTCCTATGGCCTTATTCTATACTATTATACCTTCATCTCTTGTAATGTTTCAGTTAACTTTATTTTGGCAGGTAGGGATGATTGGTTTGTTGTAGCTGAGCTTTTTTCTGAAGCAAGGTGACAGTTTTTTTAATGAAGTTTTAAAAGCTAAAAAAATCCGAGAAATCTGAAAAAAAGATACGAATCTTTACAATTCTGTAGATTATTTACAAATCATTGGCATATGGCACCCAAAATTGAATCAGGTTTTAAATTTGAGGTAAGCGAAAGTTTGAGAGAAAGGCACATTTTGTGGTGTTACCATGACATGCATAAAACAGTGAACTCCATCTCTGAAGATCACCAAGAACCTGCCCTCCTACGCACACCTAATATAGCATCTATTTTTCTTGGAGAGAGAAGAACAAATGTTGTTGATTCATAAACTGAAAGATGACTCTGTGGATGAGTCACCATCATGGGTGGGTGGACGAAGAGATCTTTATCATTCTTCTCTGTACATTAGGCTGAAGAAGTAAATTCTACTTTTTTCACTGATCTTTTCTTTAAGTAAAAGTCAAGGAGGCTTCAAAGACCTGCTCCTAAGTTTATACTGCGAAGACCACACTTCTCAGTCCTCTCAGACTTAACCTTCAGTTCTGGGGAAACTGTAATAATCCTGGTTGTGGTAGATGAGGAGCCAGAGGTTCGTGTTACCTTAGATCACGATGGAACCTGTAATTCACCTTGAAGACTTGATAGCAGGCAGGTCTACCTTGTGTGTTATTCAGATCAGGGCAGGGCATGCAAAGGAAAGAGGAGTCAAGAAATGAAGGAGTGTAGACTATTGTAGTCAGGTGTCAGAATCCTCAGCCTCTTCCATAGTTGAATTTTAATGCTTGGAAAAGATTATTTACAATATAAACAGGAAATGTATGTGAATAGTTCATATGTGATGTCCTCGTTAGTTGCCATCAAGTTGATTCCTACTCAAGGCAACCCCAGGTGTATAGAGTAGAATTGCTCCATTAGGGTTTTCAAAGCTGTGACCTTTCGGAAGCAGATCACCAGGCCTGTCTTCTGAGGTGCATCTAGGTGGGTTCAAACCACCAACCTTTCAGGTAGTGGTCGCGCACTTAACTGTGTCACCCCGGGACCATTTTATGTGATAAAAATCCTAATTTTCTGCTTTCCCAGAACAGTTACTGAGACGAACACCACAGACTTCTCAGTGGCAAAAGAAAAATGTGGGTTGAACCTAGGATGGAAATTTTCATGACATGCTGGACGTTAGAATAGTAATATGTGAGACATATTAGGAGATCATTTGGCTCGTTCATAAAAGACTCTCTTCAAGGTTCTACCAATTTTCTTAAGTGTTAATTTGGAATCTTTATCCTAGATTACTAATACTATGCATTTGTCTTTTTCTGTTGTTTGTTTTTCTGCAGTGATGAATCTAACCTTCCAAGCATGAAGTTGTGTATATAATGGTCCACTTTTTATATTTATAGTTGAAAACCGAATTGCAGATTTTACAAGTCTGAGATATGTTTACATACAGCTGCTTCTTCCTATTTGCAGTAGTACACATGTCCTTGTTTTCTTCACTTACTTCTGAAATTGAGCAGTTTGTGAAACCAGTGAGAGAAGCCTACAAAAATAGAGATCTTTTGATCTTATGTGAAGTTATGTATTTATATGGACATACCAGTGATAGAGAATCATTGTTTTTGCTATTTTCTTACTTTGGGCTTGTTACTTGCATGGACAAAAAGTGCCATGAAATAGTTTACATGAAATTGTGACCAAATATGGACTCAAAGTTACAAAAATGTACTGTACTGACTGGTTTTAGATTTTATCATCACGTTCCTATTCACCTTCATTATCAGTATTGATTCATGCCCACACCACCCATTGAAACTGACTAAAAACGCATGACTGTGTGCCACGTGTGCTTGTTGTACAACTTCAGTTGCTAGCATGCTGCTTGATGAATCCTTTGATCACATCTGAACTGCTATTCCTTTTGTCGTCTCAAGGGGGTCACACCGTGGCTTATAGCCAAAAAGAGATAATGTGGCGGAGAGCACACACACACAAGTGGTCTCGTATTTTGAGGGAGTTGCAGTCCCAACTCCAGATCTACAGCTTCCAGTCTTGTGGGCTTACGTGGCCACCTTGGTTGAAATATCAAGGGATTGAGCTGGTTGCCGCCACCAGTTTTCCTTGGGCTGCCCCAGCCGGGAAGACACTGGAAGAGGACCTGTTCAGCATCCTGCGTGTGACCGGTTCTTCTCGTGTGACCAAGTAGGAAGAGGTTTACAAATGCAAACACCCAGAACAGCAAACATTTTTTTTTTAGATTAAATCCCTGAATTCCAGCAAGTGTTAATATGGGTGCTGTTGGGAAATGACAGGCATAGAGCGCTTCGTTTTGGGCCAAGAGATTCTTGGAATGGCAGCCCCTGTTTCTGAGGACAAAGGGCGTGTGCATCCCACCAAGGCTCAGGTTGCTGAAGAAATACCATGTCCTAAGAAGGAGTCAGCCATGATAACCTCTCCTGCGGACTCTCGGGAGCTCGCCGTACAAACCGAAGCTAATGTGAGAGCTTTCGTTCTAAGACCCAGCCCGTGTCAAATACTTTCTGCAAAGTTCTAGAAACAGGAAAATATTTTCCATTCTTTAAAATATTTTTTTCTTTTTTTGAGTCCCAGTAATATTTGGAAAATATTTGTTTCACTTTTTGTCACATTTATTTTGAATAATTTTTTGAAGAAAAATTTTCAGCTCAATCATTTGGTACCAATATTTTACTAACCTCTCTCTTGTTTTGGATATTTGAAGAGAATACAAATGAAGCTCCGCTCTCTGTTCAGTATTGCAAAGCATCAATGTTAAGCATTTTTTTCAGTACTTTTTGTTACAAGACAATACATATATATACATAGTGATTATCAGTTAAGATAAAGCCAAGATTTGGTCTCTTTTAATAGTACTAACTCATTTCTGTATCTTATTGTTCTATTTACATCTAAGATTTGCCTATATTTAGATTTCTTTTTTTTTTTTACATTTCTAAATGTTTGTCTTTTCCTCTTATGCACAGACCAAATCTGAGATCCCAGAAAGCTGTGAAATATAGTTGCCAAACAGACAGTATTTTTTCATCTACTTGCTCAAAATTTACCTAACCATACTAGGCTGAGCACTTCTTTGCATAGTAAAGAGTTGGTAGTATGTTTTGAAATGGCTTATTCTAAGTGGAAGGGTTAGGAGAAACATCACTGATGGGGAGTAGTTTCCATTCAGTACACAGAACAAATTAATTTTTCTCCTGACTTACTGCCATTTTATGGGAAAATTTCTAGTTTTATGCATAGGTTTTGACCAGCAAAGAGGAAATTAGCTCATCACTGGTTTACAATAACAACTGTTAAGATATAATCATAAGACAAAGATCCTTGTGATCTCTTTCATAATATGTAACAAATGCTCAATTATACAAAATGACCTCTTTTTTCCCATTAAGTTTACAAGTTTGGAAAGATGTTCAAACTATTAGATCGATCTAATTGGTAATATTTCTAATAACATTCCGTATTCCAAAGCCAACTTAGCATTTTAAATATAATGGAGGGCATTTTCTAGCAATTTCTTGTATAACATGGTTAGGATAAGGTATTATTCAGTGTCTGAAATAATTTGTCTTAAAATGGTTTGGGAAAAATGAACTAAAGCAAGTGGAACTACAGTCATTTCAGGAAAACAAACTGATGTCTTGAGAAAAGTCCGGTAGCTATATTTCTTCTATCTTTCTTTCTACTCCTCTAGTAGAAAGAGGTATTGAGATGGATCACTATTTAAAACTCGCACAGCTTCAAGATACCTCAACATCGAGAGAAACACTTCACTTACCAAAAAAATTTTTTTTTGAATACAGCCCTTTAAAGAATACTCCTTTATCATATGTTTATATCAGATTTTTGCTCTATAACTGATTTTACAAACATTGACGTTTATTTCATGATTAAAGGAAGCTATAAACTTCCATGACATTTATTTCCTTGGGAAAAATAAAGGGGTGATGGTACTCTTTATTCGGTGGAATTGCTAGGTCTTACTCACCATGGATAATCTTAAACTTTTGGCTACTAAAGTGTTTTCAAGTATCCATTTTGACATCAATGATAACCCTCAAATAATTTCCCAACGGACTAATGAATTACGTTTGGTGTTGTATGTGTTGGGTAGATACATATTTTTCTTAAAGATAGCTTTCTTTTAATTTATATTACTGGTTAAGGGATTGAGAAACAATACATGAAAGACACATTGGAAATAAATCAAGGTCAAGTGCTTATTTCTGATAAAATATCTTTTAAGGATGCCAAATTTTTATGTGTTTTAGCTTTAAAATTGTTCTCTATTCATTTCGGTGCTAATGTATTTTCTTTTTTCTTGATGGACAATGCAACTACTTATGGACGATTTCATTTCTCTGTTTAATAGCATTCCTAAACTATTAGTGTGTGACTTTATTTTTGAAGTTCATGAATTTGCTATAATTTTTCCATGACCAGTCTTTCTTAATGTAAACAGAACAAAACAGTAGCTGGTATGTGCTTACTTGGATTATGGATCCCCTTATTTCATGTTCACTTCATCATATGCCTTTACCAACTTTTACTCTCCTCTTTTAGCTTATATACTTTGATTAAGTATGACAGAAATCAGCTTTAGACATGTCTGCACACTCTGCATAGAGTTCTTTGTGCATGAATATGCCTAGATTTTTCTTCCAGTTTTCATTTTTTATTATCAAAAATAGCCTGTGAGGATTTTTCTTTCTCCATTTATTTTGTAGAAAATAAAAGACATGAGAATTTCTTTAATTTCTACAAAAATATAAATACTGTTCTTGAACTTACTGTCTGTGCATGATGTTCTAATGGGACAGCAAGAACATATGCATGAGTAGTTCCTAGTACATATCCTTTGTCAACAATATGTGTATATATCTGCTAGTTTGGAAAATGGTCAAATCAGCATGTCTATACCTATGGAAAAATTGTCTTTGGTATATTTGTTTTTTTACTTAGAAAAGTTTTTTTTAATGTTATTATTATAGCATAAAACGTTAACATCATTTTTTATCCTTTTTTTTTTTTTTTGCCACTATATATTATCTCTGACCCGAAATGGGTATACTTGGGTGGTGGTGTTATAACACCTTCCAATAAGTGATCATGAGGAGTATACAGATATTGATATTTGAAACCTTGTGTTTTTCCATTTCTTGATAATCAAATTATATTAATATTTTAATAGTTAGCATTACCAAAAATGGAACTTTCTAATCTCTACCCAAAACAACACTGCTGTCTCTAGGAAGTCAAGTCCATAGAAACCTAATCTTATCTTCTCAAAATGATAAGAACAATCACATGAGATTCTGGCTGTTTAAATCATACACCCATAGTGGGATGAACATGCTTGACCAATTGTGCTTCTGCTAAATTATTTTAGAATATAAGGGCCTTCAGCCCTCCCGCTTTTTCTCACTTCTTTGGTTAAAATATCTTCATATTGACAAGTTTTACTCTATGCCACAGCAGAGATAGCCCTCCAACTTCAATTTTTAGTGAATTTTAGATAATCCAATATTGATAAAAATTTTAATGGCATTTCTGATTTTAGAAAAATACATTTAAATGCATAAAATCGCCTAACTGCTTATTGACAAACCTCTTTTGGGGAATAAAACCCATTATGTGTGATTTACAGATAACAAAGAAAATACCAACATTTCTCAAAATGCATTTGATATTCTTACATATCTCGGAAATATTAGTGAGTTGGATTCACAAAAGAATGCCTTACATATTGTTGACATTTATGTGAATATTCTTTATATTGTTGTAAATGTTTCATGCAACTTAACATTTTGGAAAGATGTATCTGATTTTCTTTTAGAAAATATTATATTTTTGTTTGTATTTTTTACATTTTAAAGTTCATCTCTATGTGCAGCTATTTTTATATTTCCAAAAAGTCACATAATACAAAATAAGTGGAAAACGAAAAAAAAAATATTTTGGCAAGCATTACACTGCATTTTTTTTTTTTTTAAATGTTCTGTGGGCCAGTCTCATGTAATTGATTATTCTAAGAATGTTTTGTGTCTTATCACTGTAAATATGACACAGACCTGTTTTTCCCAGTAGTGTAAATAATTGAAGTATTGAATGCTCCCTGTTTGATTTCGTATTTCAATTTCATTGTAATTTCTCCAGCTGACAGTGCTGATCAAAAGACCCATGTGGTTTCTGATTTGCAGTTTGGACATAATTGCATTGTGTTCAGTTTCTAATATGTTTTTATTTGATTTTTTAACTTGTTTTCAGGGTTCCTAGTTTGTGAGAAGTTGATCTTCAGAATTATTTTTACACTATTTATGACTTATTTTCATAATGTAAAAAGTGTGTAATTATTACAATATTAATCCAAACAATGATAATGAATTGTATTGTTATAAAGCTTTATTGATGTTCATGAAAACCTCAGCCTGTTTTCTCTGATTTAGACACAGTCTGTAAAGAATGTCATTCTATTCTTCTGTAATATGGTAACACCACCATTCAACTCCATACATATGTAGCTGTGTACTTTACTGAAACTAGAAAATTACTTTCTTTTTTTAATTAGTA